ACGATTTACAAAACACATGGGGAGAAAGAAAGAAAGAAAGAAAGAAAGAAAGAAAGAAAGAAAGGAAGAAATAAAGGAAGGACAGAAGGACGGAAGGAAGAAAGGAAAAAAAGAAGAAAGGAATGAAGAAAACTGAGAATCAACATAGAAAAACCCAGGATAAAAATGAGAACGAAAGTAAAGGATACAGACAAGGAAAATGTATAAACGTGTTAAAAGAAAGAAAGAAAGAAAGAAAGAAAGAAAGAAAGAAAGAAAAAAACAATGAAAAAAGAACTAGGAAAAAGAAAGAAGGGAAGAAGGAAAAAAAGAACAAAAGAAGGAGAAAAAAGAAAGGAAGGAAGGAAGGAAGGAAGGAAGGAAGGAAGGAAGGAAGAAAGGTAGAAAAAAAAGAAAAAAGTGAATGTATGAAAGAAAGAAAGAATGAAAGAAAAGAAAAATGACAAAGCCACATCTTTGAAAACGTTTAAGAAGCTAATTAACTAAAAGTACCTCGAGATAGATATCAGTAGAATGCGACATCTAAAACAATGCAACTATAGGTTGCTACTGAGACTTAGGGAAAGGAATAAAAAGGTGCAAATAATGTAGATATCATTCCTCGATGCCCTAGAATATGTGAATTGTATTTCTCACATCTTGCCGACACACACACACACACATATATATATATATGTGTGTGTGTGTGTGTGTGTGTGTATTTAGGTAGTAATCCTTTCATGAATATTTGATTGAATACGACAGACAAGGTTCTTTTATTTAGTTTTTTTTTAATACAATTTCTCATGTGATCTAAGAAATTTTTCCTTTTCGGATGATAAATTATATAAAAAACTGTCAATAAACATATTGTCTACAGTAGTAACAAAATAATTGGAACTGATTAGAGCAAAAAGTAAAAATAGCCACATGTCTAATGATAACCTATCAGAAATAGTAATTTAATGTATAAACTGGACTAGTTCCATTCTCGTCAGAGGCTAGTAGTACTTTGTTCCGAAATTTAATAACATTATTATTATTATTGTTGTTGTTGTTTGTGTGTTATGTTTCCTGCTTTGTTTCCCGTATAGCAGAGTCCAAACTATGGCCTTTATGCCCTATAGGAAAATTGTCATTTAATTTATAACACATTTCTTAGTATATGGGACGTTCGTAGTTTGATTTGATTTGGTTTGTTTTACGGCATATCAACATCGATGGGTTATTTAATTTCTTTTTAATACCGGTAATACTTTTTTATTTCAAAAGTGTATTGCTGATAATATCTTTTTTTACAAGGTATTTCTGGTATTAAAACATATTTTTACACTTTCAAAACCTGATCAGAGGCCTAGTTGTCGGATGTAGTTTATCATCTTACCCAGGACGCGGATGTAATTTGTTGTCATACCCAGGACGCGGATGTAGTTTATCGTCCTACCCAGGACTGGGGATGTAGTTTATCGTCTTACCCAGGACTTGGGATGTTTGTAGTAGGTCGATCTTCTGGGCAACTTCTATGTTGGTGTTACCTGGGACACTGTTATAAAATTGTCCATTCCTTTTCTCATGATGCCCAGAGCTCCAATTACTCTTGGTAAATCACAGACTTCATTTCCCACATTCTGTTAATCGCGAACTCCAAGTTCGTGTATTTGGACAAATTCTCGATAGTATTCATGGAGGTGTTTCCCTCAGTGTTTCTTCTGCTATGTCAATAAGAATACACTTCCCAAATTTCTTGTCTTTTAGGATAATATCAGGTCTGTTGTTTTTTTTTTCTTTCCCTGTCAGTTTGAATTGGCATGTCCCAGAGGATAGTTACATCCTTATTTAGTGTAAATGTGTCTGGTAGGTTCTGATACCATCTCTCAGTTATTTCGATTTTGTGCTTCTTGCATATCATCCAGTGGACACAGGTCTCTACCTTGTATGGCTGTGGGTATATTCATTTTTGCTAGTTCCTTACTACTATTACTACTACTACTTCTTCTACTTCTTCTTCTTCTTCTTCTTCTTATTATTATTATTATTATTAGCATTATTATTATTATTTCCTTTGATTTCTGTTGTATACACATTTCGTGCCATATGGTCAGAAATGTCTTCATGACATTTTCCATTAATCATGTTTGTAAAGAAAACTACGTTCACACACATTTTATATAGATAAAAAATATTCGTAATATGCGAGCTTTACTTGTGAGCGCACGTTTTTTTTTCCTTAACGTATGTGCTACCAGGAATCCCTTCAATGAGTCTACTGGGATTTTTTCCAAACAATCCGAGGGCTCAAACTACACTGGAATGATTGGTGCCTTCATATTTGTGAGATTTGCACTTCAAGATCCTTGTATTAGGTTGGTGCAAAAAATAATGTCGTTTTTTGACGTTCAACTTCAAAAGAGAAAACGACATTGTTTTTGCACCAAACTAATATTTGGATAGTTTTTTTTTTGAAGATCTTCAAAGATACATTACAATCTATGTCAATAAGAAAATTATCTTTTTTGTGGTTTTGATCAAGATTTCTGCGCAATTAGCTTTGATTTTTCTGTCAGTGTGTCTTATAAAAATTGTTACAGATCCTACCTGTGTAACCAGTTCTGGGTGATATTCATAACAGTTTCTTGAAATGACTTTCTGTAAAGGTTACGTATTTTCCGGTGAAGATATTGGCCTAACACTCTCAGGCCGAATTTTACATTTGGTGAGTTCTAATATCGTGCAATCTGATATAGGATAGTCAATTATATTTCTCTATTTGCATTATTAGGATTATTTTCCTCATCTTTGTTGCCATATTTATCACAACGTATACGTATTTTCCAGGTTGTTGGAATGTCAGACTAAAACCTTTATTTCGTCAGCTTTGGTAGACTGTTCTAGTTTTACGTGCCATGTCTAATGGATGTCAGTTATCGGTTATCTTCTGTTAATTCCCCGGTTCAATTTCTCCGCTGTCTTAACCAAGTATTGAACTCACAACTCTTTGGATCCTGTCACTGGATCTAACCACCGCCTTTATCCACTGTGCCATGTGTTCTTAAGGCAACGAAGATGAGGACAATAGTCCGAATAAAGTAAATAGTGAACATAATACATCATCTCAGAAATATAGACAGATACTGAATTATTTTCTGGTTATTCATCACAGAATCTGTATTAACACAATCTTTCAGTATTTTGTGTATTTTGTGTGCTTGGTAATTTCTAGGCAGCAAACATTGAACTTGTGGAGCAAGATTAAAACCTTCGGTTTCAGTTTTCAATCCTGCATGACGTAGCCACTTATGTGTATGGGGTTTGGCCATATCAGGTTGTGACTTAGTGGATTTACTGGCTTGTATCTGGTGATAGTAAGTTTTAAAAAATCATCAATAATATCTTGAGAATATATAATTAAGCTTTTCTTTCTTGAGCATGCTTTTTAAACAAGTGTTTTTTTATACTGCATTGACCATCAGCTATGTCGAATGAAACAGGAAAAAAAAGAAAACATTTCAATATTATTAGAGATGAGATGACATTAGAATATATCGTAATAAAATAAGTTATATCGAACTGGAACAAAAATAGATAATGGAAATATATAGAAATATACACAAAAGTACTGGTGTGTTTTGAGTACGTTTTACTAGTCTTTGTGGAATAACTACAAGAGTATTTTTTTTTCGATTTCATCGACTCAGACATCAAATACATGAGAGCGTTGTCCTATTCCTTCTTTCTACCATTTTTATTTCTCTCTTTTCTCATTGAAGTCAAACAGCGTCTCTGATATGACATAATTATCTATCGTCGCGATCAAAACGAAATTCTCCATTATTTATGAGTTATTGGCAAGGCGATAGTATACGTGCTAACTAGCTAGGGAATAATAATAATAATAATAATAATAATAATAATAATAATAATAATGCTGATGCTTATAATAATAATAATGATGATAATAATAATAATAATAATGATAATGATGATAATAATAATAATGATGTTGATAATAATAATAATAATAATAGGTCCTGTTACAATTCTATGGGACTACACAATACACACTGACAGAACAATCAAAACCAACCCCCTGGATATTGTTATTAAAGACCGCAAACAAAAAAAGTGCCTTCTTATTGATATGGCAGTCCCTGCTGACTGCAATGTATCATTGAAAATATTCAAAAAGTTATCAAAATACAAGAACATTGAAATAGAATTCTCGAAAATGTGGCATATGGAAACATCAACAATCCCTGTTGTAGTTGGAGCCCTAGGACTGGTTAGAAAAGATTGCGGTAGACTAATTGAAGGGATTCCTGGAAGTCCATGCCTCAAGGAGATACAAAAATTGTTCTGACAAGTACAGCCCACGCCTTACGAAGGGCTTTATCTATGTAATTTATTTTTTTTTTTGTCAGTGGAAAGTGTCATGATGCCATTTCTAAGCTTAGGTCCAGAAATCAAAGAAAATAAAAATATTAATAATAATAATAATAATAATAATAATTCCACTTGTAGTTGGAGCCCTTGTTTTGATTGGAAAATATTCCAATCTCAGAAGTGTGGAGCATAAGAGCATCAACAACTCCAGTTGTAGTTGAAGCCATCGGATTGATTAAAAATGATTCCAACAGACTTGCCCAGAATGGGATATAATGTTGATATACACTGAAGAAAGGTAAGGCTATTATAGAACATATTGACGATATATACCTAAGTATAGAAAAGTAAGATCAGAATGTAATATATTGCCGATATAGTCCTAAGAATAGAAATATGAGACAAGAATACAACATATTGTCGATATCGACCTATGTATAGAAACGAAAGACCAGAATGGATATATTTTCGATATACACCGAACACTACAATATATTTTAAGAACATAATATAGAACGTGGTGGATATAGACCAAAAAAGGAAATATAATAGATTGTCGATCTAAACCTCTTACCAGAATATTAAAGCTGATATTTCCAGAATATGTGGCAGTTATATATATATACATACAGGGTCTAGGT